CGTACATTCAAGGAAGCTTTGCAAAATCTTGTTCAGGTACATCTTTGTAGTTGATAGGTTGAAGCGACCGCTTTTTATATTCATTCAGGAAGGTACCCGCGTCGTACCCTCGCGTGGTAGAGTATGGGTGGTCCCCGTTGAGAGCGAATTTCTGACGAAGTTCAATCGCATACCTTGTCTCCATGAAGGTGATCAACCTTTGGGAGAATGTCCAGGAACAGCGGCTGTATATGATGTGCAGCTTTCACAAGTCGCTCCAGCTAATTTCACTCAACTCGCTGAACCTACTCTCGCATTTTCGTGAGTGAAATTTAGGCAATGCCCCACTGCCCCACATTTAGGTTATCACCCAATTTTCATCGTACAAGAAAATAGAGTGAACGACAGCTCAAAAACAGAAAGTGTACAATGCTCCCAGAAGTAAGGAAACAGTATCTTTTCATAAGTGAAATGTGCCGTAGTTTATCGCAGGAAAGTTGTATATCTGCAATATTCATATTTACTTGATGTGTGTCGGAAACCCTTTACATGGCAGTGATGATTTCAAAAATTTAATATGGAGGATGCAGATTTTTATCAAATGAAGAGGCGCAGGCATGGAATCCTGAAAATTTCTTGAAGCTTCGCAATTTTGCATGTTAGATTCAAACTTGCAGCTTATGAATTATCCTAATAAGCATAATAGTTCAAATATAAGTAAAATTGAATTTTTTCAAGGTATACGTCATGCTGAGCTGTTAGCTTCAATCTTGTAGTGCATCGATAGTTTTATTTTGATAAGCCACTTTTCAGATTTGATTTTGAATCTGCCGAATCAATAATTTATGACGAGTGTTTTGACAGGCCCATAACCTGCACAGAGAGTGGCCGAATAGATGCAATACTTATGTGGTAAATTCTTTTTTATAGTTGTGAAATTTTGCTAGGTGAATACCATCAGGTGGGATTTGGACATGGATGGAACTGGAAAATACTGGATTGATATGGCTCCGAAATGGGCAAGTGATGCTTACTATGTGAGTCGTGGGTTTGGGATTCACCGTCAAACATTAAAAATATTTGATTAGTCTAGAAACTTATAGAATAACAAATTGATATCAGGTATATTGATACACCTTTTGCATTGGTGTTTTGGAAAAAAAAATTTCGCTTTTTTCAGCACGTAAGCTGAAATGGGTAAAGCTTGTCTAGAATGCCTCTTGCTGTTACTGTATTTTGAAGGTACAAGAAAAAATAAGAAGGGCTAATGACGTCTCAGGAAACTTTTGAATTCATCAAAGTTTGGCATTTAGTGGCGAGATCACTGGATGCAAGCGGTTTACTATCTTCCTCACCGGGTACATGTGAAGAAAGATGAAGAGATCATCTTGAAGTGTAGTCATGACGAGTTTAGCATGTGGTTCTGCGTAGGAGAGGAGTAGGTTCATACTCTTATTGCTTGATTATTGATATAAAGAGTGATTTCGTTTTAGTTCATATGAAAGAGTCTACTGTAATTGCCAACTGCATACAATAGCGACTAGGCAGACCATATTTGCAATGAACGAATTGCTTGAAAACGAGTCATATCGAAAGG